TATATATATATATATATATATATATATCCTTAATTAGTAGGTATTCTTTATATGAACTAATCATGTTTAAGGTGGATAAAATTATTATGAATAATATTTTTTAATATTTAATATAATTATATATTCAAAATTTAAATATTTTTTTAGATCAATATTGACAATAATAAGACTTAAATATAAAATCCTATACATATTATCTAATATTTTACTATTAAATCAACCTTAATGATCGTTCAAAATTTGAATTTAAATTAAAGTAATCTCACTTCGATTGATCCACTTGACAGTAAGTTAAACATGCACTTGGGCCTATATAAAAATTGTGCAATGATTAATTTTGATAAAAATATAATTTATAAAATAGATGTAGCAACCTCGGTCGCGACGGGACGGCGAAAAATAAATTGAAAAAGAGGAGCCGCCACCAATGTTATTTTTTACGGAAAAACATTGGAAAAACCATAAAGTAGAAAATAGTCTACGAAAACCAAATTTTTGGGTTCGAGAGTCGATTACGTGTGAGGAAGGTATTAGCACCTCACAACGTTCGTCCTAAGACGATTACCTTTAATTAATTAAACTAATTATTTATAATTTATAAAATATTTATCTCACTAAAATTATCAAATATATTTTATTTAACTAATTTAAATTATGCATTGAAAAAAAGGTTAAAATTATTATTGTTATATAAAAAGGAGGATAATATTTTTTTTATTTTTTGGCTCGACAAGATTTAGTTCTTGCTCCTACGTATCTTCATGTGTAATGAAGAATCAGAGTCACGTAGTTCTTTGTAAAAAATATTTGTGTGTTGATATTTTTTAATTAAATTTTATTTTTGTTAAATATAAGATTCTTGAACTGTCTCAGCTCATTCATCTTAAAAATATAAAATTAACTAAGGTGTACACCAAAGTCAATTCAATAAAATTTTAATTATAATTATTGCTAGCGATGTTATGATGTTAAAAATTCTTAGTCGGACATTTTTGTTTTTGGAGGAAAAATTTAAAGATAAGCTGTCACAACTTGTACTTTAAATTCAAAGGTTAAAAAGATGTCACATCTAATTAACCATTCCTCCAATAAAATTTTTAATACAATAATTTCATATATTTATATTAAATATTTTAAAACTATATTATGATATTTAATCAAATTTTGAATTTAAATAAGGACTAAAGATATTACTAATATAAAAATAATAAAATAAAAAAAAGAAAAAGAAATGAGTTTAATATACTCACAATTCTTCGCTACAGAAGTGGGTCTCCTTCTCCGGGTTCCCTCTGGTCCAAGGTGGAGATGTGTGTGGGAAGGGTATCCTTTGGGAAGGCCAAGGGGGGAGAGATGTGTGTGTTGGTGCCTTTGGGAAGGGGAAGGGCGCTATTTATAGACTTTCTGGAGGGACCGGAACGGCCCGTTCAGAATCTGGAACGGCCCGTTCCGGGGCTGCAATTTTACTCACAACGGCCAACTTCGGAATGAGCTGTTCCAATTTCGGAACGGCCCGTTCTGGACTAGAATTTTTAGATATTTTGGTAGTTCGAGAATGGCCCATTCTAGGCTAAAAATTACAGGTCCTTTTTTAAGGTTGGAACGGCCCGTTCCAGTTTTGGAACAGCTCGTTCCGGACTAGAAATTTCAGGGCTTTTTGTAAGGTTGGAATGACCCATTCTAGTTTTAGAACGGCCCGTTCTGGGCTAGAAATTTTAAGGTTTTTTGGAAGGTTAGAACGGCCCATTCCAGTTTTGGAACGGCCCGTTCTGGGCTAGAAATTTTAGGTTTTTTTGGAATCATATGAAAATTACTAAATTACCCCCCATAAAAGTATAAAAAAATGAGGCGTTACAATTGGCTTCCATATTTTTGTCTTTTTTATTCTTTCTTGTATATACCTTTTTTGCTATTATTTTTTTTAAACAAAATTGACATTTTCCGGACGAAATTGGGTTACTACAATAGATATGTTTTCTTATATAAATTAACATTTCTTTTCATTATAATATACACACAAGCTATTCATAATGTCAAGCCTACAAAATATGAACTGATTAGCGAAGTTTAATCAAAACCATAGTTTTAAAAACCGGACCGGTCATCGAACCGGTTAAGGTACTGGGTCAGTGGGTCAAAGGTTGAACCGGTGGGTCAGTAGTTGAATCGCATGACTCAATTTTTATTTATTTTTATTAAAAAGTATTCATATTAAATATATTTTATACTTATAAATTTTAATAAATTCATATCTTATTTTAAATTTCAATTTTTGTATCTTATTTAAAATTAGTTTTATTTTTATTTTGTAAAAAAATACATAAAAAAATTACATGTTAAACGGTATATTAATACAAATTAAAAATATAAATAATATGTACATATATAATATGCTTGCAATTAATATCAGAAAATAATATATGTAATATTTACATAGATATTGCATTATTAAATATATAATTTAAAATTAATAATATACTATAAAAGTTATTTAAGTTGTATATATTGCAAACAAATATATTAGAACAAGTAGTCATTGTTATATTTAATAAGACTCCTTGCTTTTTCATTAAGAGATTCAATTTTCATTATTATTTTTGTGATTTATGGTCCCTTAAAAAAATGTAAGAAAAAAAAAAGTGGTTGAACCGGTTTGACCCACCGGTTCACTGGTTGAACCGGAAAATTGACCGGTTCAATCCGGTTTGAAACGGGTCGAATGCATAACCGATCCAACTTCAGATTCGAACCGGCTAGACCACAGGTTCCCGGTCCAACCGGTCCGACCAACCGGGTCGGTCCGGGTTTTAAAACACTGATCAAGACCATTTGTTTGTTGATACAAATAAACTTAATATATTAATTAAATATTTATAGTGTGTTTTAGGGTGACGAATTATTTTTTATATTATAAAATAAATAATATAATATTAATATATATTATTTAATATATTAATTTATTTTATATTGAATATTTATATTTATTTATAAAAATAGATTAAATAATAAATTATAATGAATTTACTAAAAAATATTATTTATTAAATAAAATTATTATTTTTAAATTTTATACTACATTATATAAGTAATTTTATACTACATTATAAGTAATGTTATATGCAATATATTGTTTGAGGTAAAATTATAAAATTAAGTAGCTTAATAATTTAAATGGTGAGTTTTATAGTGAAGGTTAAAATTCTAATCCTTGTCATATCAATAATTTTATATTAAATGTGAATTTTGAAAATTCAACCGTTAGATTGAAAGTTTATATATCTTAGATCATATATGTCAAATTTTGTTAAAATTGAACAACAACTTGAAGGTAATCAAAGTGTTTATATTTTAGTATATTTTGAAATGTATATATTACGTCAATTTTGTTTTATGAGAATGAAGTATCAAATCATCTTAGATTAATATAAAATTTGATATATATGATCTAAGTGATATGAACTTTCAATCTAACAGTTAAATTTTTAAAATTCACAATTAATATAAAATTATTGAGCGGTATAACACTTAGTTAAAGTTACACCAGTATCGTTTGAACCTTCCTATATATATATATATATATATTTACAACCTGAAGGCTATATATATATCTTCAGAGTTGAATTTGCTCGGCTTAGCCAAAAACCTATATAATATAATTACCATAAATGTAGAACTTCATGGGTTATTATAATTAGGGTGTCATCACAATATCTTGATTCTTGCATAGAGTACACTAACAAAAAAAAAATATCTTAAAATAGTGTCAATATATAATTTTAATTCGATATAAAATTAAGGATATATTTAATAAACTTATTTGTAAATACTTATAAAAAAATGAAATAATTTCCATTAAAAGCTAAAATTAATATACACCGTACATTAGTTATTAATTTATAGAAATTCTCTCATATACTAATTTTTCCAAAACCTTTATTTTTAATTTATGCTTAAATTATTTTAATTTTTGAAAAATTTAATTTAATTTTTTCTTTTATCTTTTCTCTTTTAAATCTTTCTAGAAATAATTATCCAAGCATGCCTTAAAAGATTATAACCATTATGTTCCTAAAAAAGTGTACAAAGTGGTTCTGATAAATTACCAAAAGTGCTGAATAGGTTTGATACACTGAACTGATAGAAACTTTGAAAACTAAAATGCAATAGCAATATAGATTGCAATCTTGCTTATGCAACCCTACAAAACAGACACAAAACATACGTGACATTAATGGATGGAAAAAGAACTAAAAAAATTCAAAACCAAACAAATTTAGTTATATGCGCGATAATTTAGTATGCTTATAAATTCTCTAGCTGAAGTTTACAAATAATTTAACTTAATTAACACACTAAACTTATCAACTCTTGCGATATGATCACCTAAATCCTTCCAATCCCGAGTTAATCTGTACACAAGATGCATTTTTTTTATAGAAAAAAAAATTTAAAAATATTCTCACCCTTAAATGATTTTAAATATGTAATAATGACTTTCAAAGGAAAATTAACTCAAAATTATGTCATCATCGCCATTAAGTAGTCCATTATGATTATTAAGTGGCATTTCAATACCAATTACACCTCATAATAAAATATTCCACAACTTTTCATAAGCCCGATTAATAGAAAATTCAAAAAATAGAATTAAGAACTAATTAAAATATATTATTATAAATGAAATAACATGGCTTATATAACATCCAATGATTCCTCCCACTCTATACATTTGGTCCTAAGGGAAGTTAAAGAGTTACAACATTACTGATTCCTATAGTGCATAATCCATGTGTCAAACTACAAGGCGTAGAATAAGCATTGTTTATCCACAATTTTTTCCTCACAAACAACCTTAAAACCTGACCAAAACCAAGTTCTTTCCCTTTTGATTTCATGACAAGCATAGCAGCAGGAGGTTCCCTTATTCCACTTCATGGATGTGGAAATTTAAGGGTCACTAACCCTTCCATTTCTTTAGCTGGTCCTCCTTTGACAGCCATAGATAGGTTTTTGTGGGGACAACAACAACAACAAAGCCACTATGCTCAGAAGCAACAGCCACAGAACGTTGCAAACAATATTAGCCATGCAAGTGCTTTGGATGGTAATAGTTTTGGGGGTTCAACCTACAAGATCATGTGGCCTAATGGTATTACTCAAGAAGTAAGCTTGGTTGAACAGCTTTTAGCAAATGATCATGAAGAGGCTCTGAATTGGTCACAACAAGTCCCATCACTGTGCTTGAAAGATGATGTGCATGTTTCAGGGAAGAAGAATTTCAATGTGGTGGGACGAAGACCTAAGAAAGGGTCTGTGCCCTTGATCAAAGGACAGTGGACTGATGAAGAAGACAGGTTGAGTAATATGATGTGACACATTTTCTTCTTAGATATATGCATTTAAATGTGTGCTATAGCTTTGCTTAATTTGATTTTTTATATGTATTTGCACTAAAATTTTGTGGTGATTTGTTATGTGATCAAAGGAAACTGTTGAAGTTGGTGAAGCAGCATGGTGTAAGAAAATGGTCTCAAATAGCTGAGAAGTTGGATGGAAGGGCTGGCAAACAGTGTAGAGAGAGATGGCATAATCATCTGAGACCTGATATTAAGGTCTATCACTCGCTTAATCCTTGTCAATAGGGTGCACTTTGATGCTATTTTTTTTTTCTTCTTTTCATGTTCTGTGTATATACTTTTTAGAAAGTCTCATCCTAAACAATATAAAAACTAGGCCCTAGGGTTACGTTATTTGAATGATCAATATCTTAATGTCTTTTTCCACAAATTTCAGAGCTAAAGAAATGTGACAAATTAATAATCATTTTAACAAGGTTTTTTGAACATATTGCCTTGAAATGCATGTGTTTCTTAATTATGGAACTATAAGACATAGATTTAGATTACTTTTCTAGGATATTATTACTACACAAACTAAAATTTTTATCCTCAATAAGACAAGGTTTCCTTATTTTCTTAGCTAGTCTTTTGTGCGTGACTTAATCACACTACCAAGATGTTCTTCTAATTAGGCAATTATTATATTCCTTGTTTCTATAGGGTAAATTTATATATAGCAATTGTGTTAATTGGTACTTAATTTAACTAGGATTTCTCAAGATATTAACTCGAAATGTAAGAATCTTAATTATGTTGCATCCATATATAGACTGAGATTAGTTTTAAAGGATCTAATTAGAATCTGCATATTGATCAATCTTCTTATAATTCCTTTTCCATATCATCTCAATTGTTGACATGGGTCAAACATCAAAACTAGATATTATCACTTCCATTATGAAAATTTCACATACTTCCAGTTTTACCATTCTCGTCTTGCTTACAATTAATTTTTTCTTTCTGAAATCATAGGAGATTATCACATTATTACTACTGCTATTTCACTAATTTTATAAATAATTTTGATAAGAAGAATTAATTTCCTTCTGTGGTTGACTTAGCTAGCTAGTTTTTCACTCTTCTATGAGTCATCACACTATATATCAATGTATATATGTGTATCCAATTACGCAATTATATTGTTTCGTATTTCTACAAAGATTCTGCTTCATTGGTACTTAATTTATATGTAAAAATGTCAATGCTAATTATAACTTAATTGCAATAGTCAAACTATAACTTTCCTTGGTTATTTAACATGTTGCAGAAAGATAGTTGGAGTGAAGAAGAGGAGAGGATATTAGTAGAAAGCCATGCGATGATTGGAAACCGTTGGGCAGAGATTGCAAAGCGCATTCCAGGAAGAACAGAAAATGCCATAAAGAACCATTGGAATGCCACCAAAAGAAGACAAAACTCAAGAAGAAAGAACAAAAGAGCAGCAACCTCAAATGGAAAACCACACTCCTCTATTCTCCAAGACTACATCAGAACCTTGACTCTCACCAAAACTGTCACCACTCCCTCTATTCAACAACACCACCCTAAACTCTCTGATTCTCTCTCCATTGACATCAATTATTCCTCATCACCACCACTAGTGGCTGAGTCATACGATGATGAGATGCTCTTCATGCAACAACTTTTCAAGGAGAATAATGCCAATGTTGATGAATCTCTTAAGCACTGCTCCAGGAATAATAGTAATAATAACTCTTCAGCCTCATTTGTTTCTTGCTACGATCAAAGTAATGATGATGGTGGTGGTCAGATTCTCACTGATGTCAGTCATTGTGGGTTTGCTCATTCCAACCCTAACAACACAAACAACGTTAACTCACATAATAACATTTGCTTGGATGAGAGTTTGTTCATCTCTAGAAACCCTAGCTACCTTGATTCTGATGTCTGTTTCTCTCACTTGCTCAATGGAACTTCTGGTTCATCATTTTGCTATAACTATGGGATTCACAACCAGAATATGGATATGCAGCAGGTGAATGATCAAGATAATTGGTTACAAGGAAAGAGTGGAGTTTGTTTCTTCTGAGCTTAGGATGTTTTAGTTTTGTGGACTTTGGAATAAACAATGTTGGCATCCATGTAGTGGATATTAGGATCAGCATTCTCCAACGTTTGCGCTGTTTGAAAATTTGTAGTTTTACTTTCAATGTATCTTGCACTTGTTTCCTTATCTACACTGTTGTTGAATTCCAGAGATTAAAAGATCAAAATTTCAATATGATGTACGTACGTAACATTGGTTTAATATCTTAGTTGCATAAAAAGAAACAAATAATTCCACTACTATGTTAGGGTGTTCTACGTCTAACCATTGCTAGTTTTTTTTTTTTTTTTCAACAAGATCCTGCAACATTAATTCCCCGTGGAGACATAGGGTATAAATTTTGTGGTGAGAAAAAAATATATTTCTTTTGCATGCCAAACTAATATGATGTTACTTATGGCATGTGTAAGATAATTGGGAATTTTTTTTTTTTAATGATTAATTATATGTATATTTGATTATTTTTACGAGTATGTTTAAATTATTTTTTTATAAGTACTTTTTATTAATATTTTTCTTAAGCAGCAACTTATATCAGTTCTTTAATGATTACTTTTTTGAAAATTAGTTTTCTTTATAATTTTAAACAAAACTGATCCATAATCAAAATTAATTTTTGTTTAAATATATCTTTTTAAAAGTAATTTTGTTTGGAAAAAAAACCCATTTTTACATAATAAATTGCAAAAAACAAAATTGTATGAAGCTGAGAGATAATTTTTCTTGTTGATAAATTTGAATTGTTGAGGAATTTAGAAGTAATATGAGAATAGTGTTTTTTGCAGTGACGGAATCAAGGGGCTAGCAACGCCTTGCCTCCTCCATGACTATGAGAAAATGTATAATTATAAAATATATATATGTTAAATAAAATATGTTGACACAATAAAAAATGTTATATATAGTGATATATAAAAAAATATATGTAAATAAAAATTTATTTGACATGTAATTATATATAATATTAATATTTAATATTAATTCACTACAAGAATGTTTCGATTTAGAGTCAGCCAAAAGTCGACTCTAAATCATAAAAACTGATGTAATATTGTCGATTATTCGTCGACGCTAAATAAGTCGATCCGTGAACCTTGAGGTCTTAAGTGAATTTGATAACCAACTGTACTAGAACACATTATGCATATATAACATTGAAAAATTATCTTTATCTCTCTCAAAGCACGTATACTGTCGAAAAAACCGACGCTATTTTAAGATGTAGCATCGACTTTTTCGATACTAAATTTAAATTAAGTTTAGTATCGGAAAAGCTGACGCTATTCTTTAAATATAGCGTCGAATTTTTTGACACTAATTTAATTTAATTTAAATTAAATTAGTGTCAAAAAAAACAACGCTATATTTAAAAAATAGCGTCGGCTTTTCCAACGTTAAACTTAAAATTATAATTTGAAAATCTTGTAATTAAATCATTCACTCACTAATATTATAAAGTTTTGTTAATAAGGTAATTCATTACCTTTTTATTTTCATCTATTTTAAATGTTTATAATTAAATAGTTAATTATAATATGTTAATTACACGAAATTTTAAGATTATGTTTACGTTTATATAAATATATTTTTGAAAAAATAATATATATATTATTGTAACAAAACATAAATCTTATATAAATATTTTTAGGAGTAATCAAACATATTTTAACTATTCAGTAATCATTATCAAGATTTATAATTTATAGAAATCATGATTCTTAGGTATGAAATTTTTTTTCCCTTACTAAATGTCTCCTTAGATTTAAATTATATTTATGTTTTTAAACTCTATGATATTTTTCAATTTACATCTAATAAAATCTACAAAAAAAATGAAAGGCATAACTAGTTAATTTTTTTTTTGTAACGCACTAGTTAATTTATATTATGCATTGTATAGGCTAAATAATAAATTTTAATATTATATTCTCTCTACATATAAATTATAGATATTATTTTTAATGAGATTATTTTATAATAACTATTTACGTATACTTAGTATATTTAAAAATATTTATTTATTAAAATTTTAATTGAATACGATAAATATTCATTTTATATGTTGTGCAAACTAAAATATTAAATTAAAATTTTAAATTGTGTCAATAAAAGTTATATTTTTCAATTTTTTTTCTTAGATTTTATGAATAGATATATATTAAAAGATATTAAAGTTTAAAAATAGTCAGTATAGAGTAATAATTACAAAATTACATAAATTAAATTACAAAATTAGATAAACTAAATTTCATATAATAGAAATTTAAAATTGAGTGCAAATTACATAAATTTAAAGTAAATTAAATTTCTAAAAAATTTAAAGTGATGATGGATAAGAATAAGTAAGCATATATTCATTTAATTCTTGTAGTAAATTTAATAAATTAGATATTATTCATACTCATACCCAATTAAACCAAATATTTCTATCAAAGTTGGGTACAAACATTATTGATTATTCACGAGTATTAATCTATTTCCTCGTTAGTGTATGTTGAAATAGAGAGATGATTATTGATTAAACAAATATATTACTTATTAATTATCTAATCTATTTTTTTAATCTCTCTTTTTCCTTACATCTCATTTTTTACATTTCATTTTTAAATTCTTGATTTTATCTATTTTTTTATTATTAATAATCTATTCTCTCACCATATTTCTTATTTTCTGTTTTTTTTCCCTCCTTTATTCCTATCTCCACACATTTCACTCTCGATATGTGAAAAAATATTATTCACTATATTCTTATCTATCATTCACCCGTCCATTTATCGTGCTTGAGGATTAAATGACTAGTGCAAAATAGGGTAATAAATAAAAGAATAACATTTACATTAAAAAATTAAATTAAATTTCATTTACCTACCTTCGAAGTTTACCATTTCTTTGAGGTACTGTCGACACTTAATATAGACCCTCTCAATAAATATTTGAACTTTAATTTATAATGTTGAGGGACTAATTCCTTCTATGTCACATTGCTAAACATAAAATATAATTCTAAAATGTTTAAGGTGAGACGTGGCATGCATTTTATGTAATTATCTTGTCTATCTGAATATCACTATTTATCTTCTTGGTATACATATATATATCAAAAATAAATTTTAAAATTAAAAAAATAAAGAAATTAAGAACATGTTATTGTACCCCAAATTTGTCTTTAAAATATCTTCCTGGAAAAAAAAAAGCGCCAAAATATATGCAAGGTTCTTCTTGTTTTGTTGGAAACGAATAGTGTAGTTAATAATTAGTGTTTTCTTTTTTGTTTTTACAGCTAATTATGGTAAGGTAATTTGCAGTAATTTTCCTTCATTGCTGTTTCCGTTATGTCTGTTTGATTACTTGCTCAACGCCTACTAAATTTTGAAATGCATGAAATAAATGAATTAGTGATCACAAGGACATATTTGGTCAAAGATTACAATCTGTTCTTTAAGTACGTTATTAACTCATATAATAGATATTCATTAAGGGAAGGAGCCCACGTGGCTAAATTGCAAATAACTACTTTCCCTATAAATTAAATTTAAGAAAATATCTTTAAATATTATATCGGTATAATTTTTATCAATTATTATACTACTCAATTATTTTATATACAAAATGAATTTTATTGTTCTACTTGTTGGATTATAATTTTATACTATCAATATTTATATATCAAATTTTGTTAAAATTGGATAATAATAAGAAAGTGATCAAAGTATTCATATTTTAAAAAGTATATATTGTATTAATTTTAATTTATATAGATGAGATATCAAATAATTTTATATTAATATAAAATATTGTATATATGATTTAAGTAAAATAATTTTTCAATTCAACTGTTAAATTAATAAAACTCAAATTTTATATAAAGTTATTAAATGATATAATAATTATAAAAGTTACATTAGTATAATTTAATCCCTCCTTGTCTTTTATATATAGTGCATAGTTAAAGAATAAACTTGCTACTATATAT